ATACTCTGAATAAAGCCAAATTCAAACAAAGAAGAACATAATTTTTCATTCCACTTCCTAGGAGCCTGTTTTAAACCATACAAAGATTTCAACAATTTACAGACACGAGTATCACCAGGTGTATGATACCCTTGAGGAAGAGTCATATAAACATCTTCTTCAAGATCCCCATAAAGAAAAGCATTATTTACATCAAGTTGAAATAAATTCCAGGAATTACTAACAGCTAAAGAAACAACAACCCTAACTGTTACCATTTTAGCAACAGGAGAAAATGTTTCCTCATAATCAATACCCTCCTTCTGACAATAACCTTTTGCTACTAATCTAGCTTTAAACCTTTCTATCTCACCATTAGACTTATACTTAATTTTGTATACCCATTTACAACCAATGGGCTTTCTATTAGGGGGTAAATCTATAATTTCCCAGGTTTTATTTCTATATAAAGCCTCCATTTCCTCATTCATTGCAGTCACCCAATTTGAATCAGTAGAAGCTTCAAAAAAATTCCTAGGCTCAACAGTTTTATTTAAGTTTGAAACAAAACAAAGATTCTCAGGACTTAAGTTTGCATAATTTAAAGTCTTTTCAATACCATACTTATACTTACCTTCTACAATATAATCATCAAATCTAGAAGGCATTTTAGACTCTCTATTAGACCTCCTAACACTATCAGATGGTTCAAGATTTTCTGAGCTATTTCCCTCAGAAGGTTCAGAAACACCTGGACCAACCTCCTGAGACTGTGACAACTGTTCCAAGCCACCCTGGTTGCTAATATTAGCCGGCTCAGAGGACAAAGCTACACCAGTGTCATCAGTCTGGTGGCTCATCACAGAAGTGTCAAATTCAGAAACCTCATCCATATAGGATGATTGAAGAACTTCATCATAGGGACTAGGATGTATAGAGTCAACACAATTAGAATCATTAAAAAATGAAAGCACATTTTCACTGACTGGATCTTTCTTCATTTTAAAAGGAAAAACATCCTCATAGAACACTACATCCCTGGAAAAGAAAATAGAAGAATTATCAAGATTATACAACTTATATCATTTCTTCTCATTAGAATAACCAATAAAAATACACTTGTCAGACCTTTCAATAAATTTGTCTGATATGTTTTGTTTAACAGAAAAACATAGACAACCAAATACTCTTAAATTTTCAAATTTAGGCAAACACTTGTAAATCATTTCAAAAGGTGATTTCCCATGTAAAACAGAAGTGGGAAGTCTATTTATTAAAAAAACAGCAGTTAAAACAGATTCACCCCAAAAACTAAGAGGCAAATCTGACTGAAACAAAAGAAATCTAGCTACATTCAAAAGGTGTTTATGCTTCCTTTCCACAACACCATTCTGCTGTGGAGTATAAGTACATGTAGTCTGATGAGAAATACCATTTTTATCAAAAAAATCTTTAAACTGAGAGTTAACAAATTCAGTACCATTATCAGACCTAACAATTTTAACATTCGAATTAAAATGATTTTTCAAAAAATTATAGAACACAGAAAACCAATAGAAAACTCTTGTCTTAGACTTGAAACCATCTAGTGAAATCATCCACAATAGTTAAGAAAAACTTGAAACCATCTGAAGTAGCAACCCTATAAGGACCCCAAACATCAATATGTACCAAATCACCTAGTGAAACACTTTTATGCTCACTTAACTGAAAAGAATTTCTAGACTGCTTAGCTTTATGACAAATATCACACGGAGGAAGAGACTCAGGTCCAAAAGATAGAACATGCTTAAGAGAATTTAAAGATTGAATAGCAGGGTGACCTAATCTATTATGCCAAGTAATCTTAGAAACATAGCAATCAATCCTACTCAAAGAAGCCATATTACCTGAAGAATAGGAATCTTCAAGATAATACAGTCCTCCTGATTCACTACCAGTCCCCACAGTCACCTTGGACTGTGAATCCTGAACAACACATTTAAATTCATCAAAAACAAGTTGACATTTATTATCCTTACAGAGTTTATGAACTGAAAGTAGATTAACATTAAATTCAGGAACAACAAATACATCAGATAAGACAGCTGAATCAGACAACTTCATATTTCTAATTTTATTAATTCTAGCAGAAGAACCATTAGGATGATCTACCATAAGATCAAGTTTAGAAACATCAACAACATTATTCAACTTAAAATCATTTTTTGTCATATGATGATTTGCACCAGAATCAACAATCCATTTTCTATTACTAGAAATAAAAGAATTACAACAAATACCTGCCATATTTGCAGATGCTTCACTAGTTGTAGACTTCTCATTAATGAGACTAAGAAATTTGTTATATTGCTCACTTGTGAGAAAAAACTTTTCAGAAGAATTGTTAGTTTTAACATCCAAATCAGAAGAACCATTAACATCAGAAGACATAGAATTATTAGATGAAAAAGTCTTGTTAAAATTTTGAGATTCATTTTTGAACTTAAAATCTTTTGGAAAGCCAATAAGCTTATAACATCTTTCAATAGTATGTCCTTTAAGTCCACAGTTTTTACACTGAAGATTAGAATTACCACGAAATATATTTCGTTTCTGATCATTAATTTTTCCAACAAAGGCAGTAGCCTGAGACTTAGTAGAAGTCTGAGAAATGGAACCTCCCTTTTGATGAGATTCTTCACGAGATACAATTGAAAAAGCAGTTTTCACATTAGGGAGAGGTTCCATTAACAGAATGTGGCTTTTAACCTGACTGAATGTATCATCTAAACCAGATAAGAACTGCATTAACTTCATTAATTTTGAATGATTGACAAAACTAGCTGAGGCTTCACATGTACATTCAGTCAGATTAACTAACCCATCAAACTCTTTCCACAGAGCATCAAGTTTACCATAATACTCAGAAACAGATAAACCATTCTGAGTAAGAGAATTTATTTTTTGATGCACATTGAACACAACAGAACCATCAGCTTTAGAATAAGTTTCACTTAATTCAGACCAAATATCATAAGCATTGTCACTACAAGCATGATTTGCATATAAAGACTCAGACACTGAACCAAGTAGCCAAGAACACACAACAGCATTAACACGTTCCCATTTACGAATCTTAGACTCATCCTTACTAGGTTTAGGAAAAGTTTTATCAACAAACCCTAATTTATTCCTACCTTTCAAGGCCTTAGTCATAGAAACTTTCCAGATTCGAAAATTCTCAATACCAGTCAATTTAAAACTAATAATAGAAACTACACCATTATCAGAAGGATGCAAGAATAACGGATCATCAAAATCATAACGATCTGGACTTTTAGAACCAGATCCAGAAGGGGTTTCTCCAGAAGAAGTTTCCCCAACCATGACTGATACAGTTTAAGTAACAACAATAATGTGTTCTCACAATGAGTAATTACACTAGACCAGATTCTAATCACCTTTCTTGGGATAGACAAGTCAGTATAATCACAAGAACACAATCTTATTATCACCAAAATTGTAAGAGTTTTTTAATAAAAAAAATACCAAGAACACCAGGAAAACAACCTGAACAAATAAGAGAAGAGATTAGGCGTGCGAAAACTTATAGAGATCCACCAAAAAACCGCACAGCAAACAGCAGTGTAGTTTACCGTTAGACCTATACAGAATAGAGTCTAACACTGAAGCAGACGGGCATTCAAATGCCTGAAACCACCAATAAACCTCAGATTACACCGTTTGCGTTCTTAATGTTGACCGTCGCTTAATGTTGACCGTTAGACAACAACAAGGAAGCTAACGTTTACTATCAAACGATCGTTTACAATTAAAAACGACGATGTCTGAGGGACTTTTAACAGATCCGACGACTAACGAAGATCGAACAAGAAACTCAGAAAGAAGCTTCCAAGGAAGCTTCGCAAACAGAAATCAAGAAACCCTAATTTCACAAACAGAAATCGAGAAACCCTAACTCAAAAAAAAAAACCGATCAAAACACGGAAAAAGACGCAGGAGTATGAACCTGCTCTGATACCATGATAGAAACTCTCAAAACAACAAATCTAACAACAACATCAACAGATCTTTCATTAATGAGAAATAAGATCCAGTTGGTTTTCACGAACTTACAACTCAAAACTCTCTACAATAACACTCACACTCAAATATACACAATAATCAAAAAAGGTTTTAGTCTACAAAACAAGTTTAACAAAGAATCAGACTCTAAACTTGAACAAACCCTAAAATAATGAAGATAAAGACGACTCAAGAACAGAGAGACTCGACTTGTGTGTTATGGTAAAAATGAATTGAATTGATCAAAATAACACTGCTGAGCTTACATATATATCTCGGGTAATATCCATGAACCAAACTCGAATAAACCTGATCCATACCCTTCCTGAAAGATCCGCGTGCTTCTTCTCTTATACAGATATCATGTTATACCCCCTGCACTTACTGAAACAAACACAATATACCCAAATAACACAAATCCATTCTTATTCTTTTAGTAAACCACTTCTCAAAGTTTTACAGTTTCAACCCAGTTTTAGGAAAGCATTCAATGTTAATCTTGAACCATAAATAACACAATATTTTAACACTATGTATGTATTTAAATTTTGGTGGAAAATTTGTTTCTATTTTTTCTTTACATAAAGTTTTTACATTAAAATAGAAAAAAAAATATCCGATTTCCGTTGGGGATTCACTATCACCATTGGGGGTGGAGATGGAGATAAATATGTGTATGGGTATTAGAATGAAGATTTGGGGATAAAGATAGAGATTGGATTACCCGGTATTTCCTTGCTCCCTTTCCATGAACCGATTTTTTTTTTTTTTTTTTTTTTTTTTGTTTCCATTGTGCGAGGAAAGAGGGATTTTAGTTATATTTGACCAAGTCAAGTGCCATGTCAACAACAATTCACCAAGTCAATTTCCACATCAGCACAAATTGTCCTAGTTTTATAATCCATTTTGGCAAAAACAGAAAAACAAGATATCTTAGATCGGTTTTTTAGGAAATGTTTTTTTTCAGAAAAAAGTAATGAAACTATAATGGTTCTGTTACATTTGTCCTATTAATTTCATATGGGTTTTTATTTAAAAAAAATACATTTTTACCAAATACGGAAATATTTAAGCGTCGAAGAGATTTTGCTTTCTTACTTCTCCCCCAAGAAGAAACTCTCGCCTACTTGCAGATTCATACAATTAATCCTCTCTGTTTCTTCTCCCACAAAATCTTTTACGCAGGCACCGTCACCCACCACCACTACAATTTCGTCTCCGTAATTTCCTCCAATACACCAATTTGATTATTGGTTCTTTTAGATTCACAAAAATCTATGTAATCCACATTTATATTTATATATATAAACGATTTCTTCATTTGATTTAGGAAAAAGATCATCAATTTTACCCACTTCGTTCGTTCATCTGAATTTCTCTTTTCTTTGTTATGAACGCCATCAAGGTTTACAACAATATGAAGGTTGGTTGCAGGCTTTTAATTCAAAGCCGAAGCGTCGTTCTAGGATTCATCAAATCCCCAATGTTAATTCGCAATCACCATATCTCCCCCCCTCAATTTTTGGGATTACGATGTATAAATCAAGCCCAGAAACCCTTTTCTGTTACCAATCCAAATTGGGGCCAATCTAGAGTTTTTCCCGCTACCTGTTGTAGTTCGAACAAGAATGGTAGCAGTAAACCTCGTTACGTATCGGATTATTCAACAAAATTAGAAACTAGCGTGAATGACAAGAATTTCGAGAAGATTTACGTGCAGGGTGTTGATGAATTAGATGAAAAGACGCCGGTAGTGGTAGAGAAGAAAGATGAAACCGTAGATAGGGATGGGGAAGAATCTAGGTTAAAGAATGACGTACAAAATGAAAATTTAGTCTCACTAGATCCTACAGAGAGGGTAGAATCAGAGGCGGAGAAAGAAGCGTGGCGGTTGTTGAAGGAGTCAGTTGTAACGTACTGCGGCAGTCCGGTGGGGACGTTGGCCGCCAATGATGCCGGAGATAAGACGCCATTAAATTACGATCAGGTTTTTATTCGAGATTTCGTCCCGTCGGCTTTAGCTTTCTTGCTAAGGGGAGAAGGAGAGATCGTTAGAAACTTCCTCCTCCATACTCTGCAATTACAGGTAATTTTGGCGATTTTGAACGCAATTATATGTATATAGTTGTTCTTATACCAAAATCACAAATCTTTCCAACTCCATTGATGATTCTTTGTTGTTTCTTAAGAGTTGGGAGAAAACCGTGGATTGTTACAGCCCAGGTCAAGGATTGATGCCTGCAAGTTTCAAAATAAGAACCGTTCCCCTTGATGACAACAAGGTTGAAGAAGTTTTAGACCCTGATTTTGGTGAATCTGCTATAGGCCGTGTTGCGCCTGTTGATTCTGGTAAAAGTTACCTTCATAACATATACTATGATTATAATCAGTTGGATTATTGATTCTTGAATAAATGCAGGATTATGGTGGATTATCATGTTGAGAGCTTACACAAAGATCACTGGTGATTATGCCATGCAAGAAAGGGTCGATGTTCAAACAGGCATCAAACTGATTCTGAATTTGTGTTTGTCAGATGGTTTTGATATGTTTCCTTCTTTATTGGTTACTGATGGCTCCTGCATGATTGATCGAAGAATGGGTATCCATGGACACCCTTTGGAGATCCAAGTGAGCTTTTCTAATATTCATGTCATTTCCTATTTGTTGTTTTCTTTTGGCTTATTTTTTTGTGTTTCTTGGATTTTACAGGCGTTATTCTACTCAGCCCTAAGGTGTGCACGGGAGATGCTTGCATCAGATGAAGGATCCAAGAATTTGGTGAGGACAATCAACAATAGACTGAGTGCATTATCCTTTCATATAAGAGAATATTATTGGATAGATATGAAGAAAATCAATGAAATTTACCGATATAAAACCGAAGAGTATTCAACAGAAGCAACAAACAAATTCAACATTTATCCAGAACAAATTCCCCATTGGTTAATGGATTGGATCCCAGAAGAAGGAGGATACATGATTGGCAATCTACAACCCGCACATATGGATTTTAGATTTTTTACACTTGGTAATATTTGGTCAATAGTTTCATCTTTGACCACTCCAAAACAAAACAATTCAATATTGAATTTAATAGAATCCAAATGGGATGATCTTGTTGGCAACATGCCTGTTAAGATCTGTTACCCTGCCTTGGAATATGAAGAGTGGCGCATAATCACTGGTAGTGACCCGAAAAATACGTGAGTTTCTTTCTTTATTTTACATATTTCGTCCTTGTGGTTTGTTGAAAATTACGGATTTGGTCCCTTCCTATGTTTTTGTAAACACTAACAAGCTCTTGAATTATCGCAGACCATGGTCTTATCACAATGGCGGTTCCTGGCCAGTTCTTCTATGGCAGGTAATTTTCACTGGACAAGCTTTCTATGGCTATTTTTATGGAGGGGGGCATTTATGTCTTTTTTTGCACAAACAAAGAGTTTGAGTGCAATTTGTTGTCCCACAACTTGTTATGTCATGTCTGAATAATGGTTTTTGTTTTTTTGTGTATTTTAGTTCACATTAGCTTGTATCAAGATGGGGCGAATAGAATTAGCAAGAAAGGCGGTGGATCTTGCTGAAAGTAGATTGCATGCTGATCATTGGCCAGAATATTATGATACCAGAAATGGAAAGTTTATAGGGAAGCAATCTAGGCTTTACCAAACATGGACAATTGCTGGATTTTTGACATCTAAAATGCTTTTGGAAAATCCTGAAAAAGCATCTCTTTTATTTTGGGAAGAAGACTATGAGCTTCTTGAAATATGTGTTTGTGCTCTTACCAAAACAGGCAGGGCAAAATGTTCTCGTGGTGCTGCCAAATCACAGATTCTCGTGTGACAACAAGAACCCTATTGTGTTGTACAGTAATATGATATCAAATTTTAGAGTAAGTTATAGATATAGCAGTATTAAAAAAAAAATGAAATACTGCAATTTTTTTGTATTTGATATCATTTATACCCAATATTGTTTTGTTCTCCGATTAATTGAGCCAGTTAATCGAGTAATATGAATCATAAGTTACAAGCTTCTTTTTTGGGATTGGACCAAATCTTGAATTTATACCCAATATTGTTTAGTCCTACATATCATTCTCATTTTGTTCCACACTAGGGTTTATTTGCAGGTCTTAGGGTTTAGGATGGGGGTATTTGTCTTTTGTGTAGACGAGATATCAAATTGAGTCTTATTCAACGTTTTTGAATTAAACAGAAAATTAGAATCCTTGTTCCAGTAATCTTAGTTCTAACCTAACATGGTGTGTTAACATGAACATGTCATATCATATGGAATTGGACCAAATCTTGAATTTTACACGAGAATATCAAGAACTTAAACCAAAGCAGAGGCTCCAAAAGCTATAGAATTTATGCCCATAAAAGGGTTGCAGAAGATAATTTAATAATCCCACTTGATCTAAATGAAGTGCACAGAAGGTGCTACTAAAATTAACAATCAAAACAATTAAATTAAACTTTCTACCAGAAAATTAAAGCTGTTTATAGAATCTGATCGGAAAGTGGTGGGAGTCGCCGGAAAAAGTTGACTGGAAGTGACGGCATGTCCCCCCTGAACCGAGGGTGGCGCATGTAAAAGAATCCCCACCCTAAAAGAAAAGCCTTAAATGGTACAACATAGAACACCATTGACGCCAACAAACAAACCACCACAAATATTCCGGTGGCCCTCGGGTCTCTCCAACTGCATAGGGCCTCCAACCTCTCTCCCTGTGCTGCCACGTCACCAAGCAGTGTCTGAGCCCGACCCGCTAGAGCCCGTAACCGGTCATACCGAATACGGATCTGATCCGCTGATTTCAAACTCGGAAACCCGTCAAATTCCTCATCAAGCTCTTCAGGCCCAACCGAATCGACTTGCGAGAGTCTCGGGTCCATTGTGACCGGGACCCGTGTCCGGTACCGGTATCTTAATGATATAATCAAGAATGCGTACAAGCAAACTGTGGGCAGGATTAGATGTGGGCACAGAACTATAGCCATCAGAAGCACATGAACTAGAACCGTTGTCGGTGGGTGAACCCATGTGCGGATCGACTCGAGCCACCTAGCCAAAGTGGCTGCTTTTGACAAACACCCAACAATTCGAAACCAATTTGACTTGCTTCTCCTCATACTCCAAGTGTGAGTATCCGAATCCAACATAAACTGGACTACTTCTTGTCCCAAGGCTGGCTCGGATCGAGCCAACCTTGCAATCACAATCTTCATAGCATTATGCCTCAACATATCTTGCTGCATAGGCCCCAATGGGCGCACATAGTGCATCCGCGGAAGCATTGGAGTCGAGTAAGCTTGGAGTAGACTAATCCACGAAGAACACGAGAATCTCACTGTAATCTCAATCTCACCCATTTTCTTGGCGCCACCTGGTAGGAGCACGATAAGAGAATATGAACCCACGTACACACGATTCGTGTCGAGAGTCGAGAGTCGTACCCTAAGCTTTCCGAGTCGTACATCTTTACTAGGTTTGTCGTCTCCTTCACCTTTTTGATACCTCCCGTTGTCAAACACACCGATCGTGAGCACAGTGCATGGGTCGTATACATCCCATGTGTACTGCTCGTTCCATCGTGGATTAAATCGATCAAGAATTGTACGGGTGCGGACCCACTTTGGTCCGTATTTGGCAACCACGTAGGAATCTGTAGTGCCACGTGTACCGTCTTTTGTTTTCACTGGTAGCAAATTGGTGGCCCCACGGATTCCGACCTCGAGCAACCCGATTGGTGGTTTCGATAGCTGTTTTGCGGTGGGCCGGACATCACTGGTCACGTGAGCTGCCTCGTCAAGCACGTGATAACCACCTTCCAAACAAACTCCAACATGAATTCTACCTGCGTAGGGCCTACTTTCATCTCCAACTAAATTGAACCATCTTGACCCAAGCGTTGACTGGTCGTCTGTGCGCTTGTCTATGCTAGCTACCTGCACCTTCGCATGTCCAACAGTTTGACCGTTGGATGCATCTTCCACTGTGATCACCAAAAACGGCTCAAACGGCTCGGCTGCGACGAAAACCAAATCTTCATTCCACGTAGGATTCGACGAAGTGCTGGAGGACCCGACCGTTGTCCGGTTCGTTTTAAACAGCTGTGGCCCGAGTTGACCTTTTACAAACAATTCCGGGTTTTTTATTTTAGGCTCGGGTCCCGAGCCTAGCTGCAAGTCTTGGGTTTGGATGACCGTTAGTCTCAAATACCACAGCTTCGGAGAGAGGTAGACTTTGGCTCGGGTCTCCGGAATCAACCCGCCGGAATCCGATTGCCATGCCTCCTGAAACGCCTCGTCGGCTTGTGTCCCTAACCAAACGGCGAGCATGATATCAGTTGCCGGAGAATTCTCCGGTGAGCCGTCGAGAGTGTACCATTGTGGAGCTAAAGGACTGTCTGGTGGCACTCTTTTTGGTACTTCCGGCAAATCAAACGTTACCGTTCCCAAACAACTCTCCAAGATTTCTTCTTTGCCTTCTTCCACTACTTTCTTCTTCTGATCGAATACAGAAACTTCTAGAGAGGTTGAGTTCAGACCTTCTTTGTCAAATGCAAAAACCTGATCCCAATCTTTACTTGTACCTTGTGCTTTGATGTTGATACTGTGAGTTCCGATCGCTAGCTTCGCATAGTACATCGTTGAGTCGTCGGAATCCTTTTCCGCTCGTTTTGCTTTTACAACCCTAACGTACAGAAATGGCATCCGATCAACGAGATCGAAGGCGGTGCTTCCACGGTGATGATTGGAAAGCGAAACCGCATCAGAGTTCATATTTGACGGTTTTCTGGCCAACTGAAGGCTCTGTTCAGCCTGTTTTGGTTTAGGCGACTGAGCTACAGCATTCTCCACAGGAGGAGGTGGCGCGGGTGGCGTTGCAGCTGCCGCTGCATCAGTGGATGGAGTAGCGGGAGCCACCGGTGGAGCGTCTTCTTTTTTCTGATCCTCTGGCGGCTTTTCCTCTTTCTTTTCTCCTTCATCCGCTGGTTTTTCTTCGGTTTTTGTCTCCTCCTCTGTTTTCTTCTCCTCCGGCGGCTTTTCCTCTGTTGCTGCTGGCGGTGTTTCAGCCGCCTCAGGCTTCTGCTCTTCTGCCGCTGGAGCTGCCGGAGGTTCTTCGTCTACATAACAAATCTTAAGCCCGATTTCACCTTTAATCTGCGAGAAAACACTCCTCTTCTCCAAAGGATAATAAACCAAAGCCTCCGACCCACACTTGGGAAAAGTACCTCCAGCGATTTTCACTTTCCCGAGGAAAGTGCTCCTCTTACCGGTCTTTTTATTATCATTGTAAACATTAAGCTCAAGAATCTCCGTCGCCATGGACGCAACATCATGAACAAGAAACTCAACCTTTTCATCCCACTGAGGATTCAGATCTCTGGAAATCGTCTTCGTCCGTCGCCGCTGACCATCGAAATCGACGATTACGTAAGCACTCGCAGTCCCTTGTCCATCTTTAGGCATCAAATTTTTTGCATTACAAACCTCCACCATTATCTTTCGATTAGCCATATTTTCAAGATTTAACAAATCGAATAGCACAGATGAAACTGAAATCGAAATCGAGACAATGAATTGGTTTTAGATAAAAGAAAGATTGGGGGAATTCTGAATGAGAGAGAAATTGTGTGAAGGGTTTAAGAAGGGGAGAAGAGAAGTAAATGACAGATTAGTAAAGTACAAGGGTTCATGTGGAAATGACTGTACATGTGACCGTTGTGCTATGGTTTTTTTGTTGTATTGATCAAAATAATATTTCCATGATCTCTTAAACTTTTTGCATTCTTTCTAAAAACACAAATTTCATTTCCATCCACTTTTTATTAAAATAATTTAAATTATATATTCTTTTAGTAAAAAGTTAATATAAAATAGTTTGAGGCAATACGCAATATCTTTTTCATCCCATATTATTAGCATTAACATTTTCATGATGTGATTAAATTTAATTTAATTACATAATCAAATTAGGTCAATCAAAATGTGATCATTCACCTGTTAAATAAACATTACAAATATTAAAAAAAAAAAAAAGTGACCCATTTTATTTACTGGACCTTCCATTTTTATCATGTATGTGTGATTAACTCTAAAAATCTTTAATAATGTTATATTTCACTCTCGTAAGTCATAAGCAGTGTTGCAGAAATCAGCCTAATCGGCCGATTAATCGCTAATCGGACCTCCGCCGATGAGATTTATTGTTAATTGGTCACTATAATCAGGCTTGGTCAATGCAAGTCAAAGTCGGAATTTATCGGACCTAATCGGACCTAATCGGGTTTGGTCAATGCATGTCAAATTCAGACCTAATCGCCGATTAATCGCTTATTTTGGAGGATTAAAGTTAGATTTATAAATTTTTGAATAATTTCTTAAGAGTTAATGGTCCCCAATTAATCTACGTCTAGCCGATTAATCCCTAATCGTTAGTCCACCGATTAGCGGTCTATTAGCGATTTTTGCAACCATGTTCATAAGTCATAATTATCATTATGATTTCCTTTGAATATAGTATGATAAAAACATTTTGGTACAATTAATATTCTCTTTGTCAAATTATTTCTCTTTTCTTTAACTAGGCCCACAATTTACATTTATTATCTCATTAGTGATTAGATAATTATTATGATTATGTTAATACACTAATGTCTCATAAAATCTTACTTAAGCATACAATTAGGACTTAGTAGAGTATATCATAGTGGTCATTTTATTTATATGTTCTTAAACTTTTGATGATAAGTTTATTGTAAAAAAAAATGATAATTTAGTTAGTGGGGTGCATTTGGGATTATAAATAGCAAAAAGCCACGGGGGAAGCACGTGAGGAAACAGCGAGCATAGCGGGTGCAGGAAGATACAGCCGTTATGTTGCGTTTTGGGAATTGGGATCTGATACACGAACGGTTTCATGCATTTATTTATAGTTAAGGAAACACTTTTTAAAAACCATCAATTTTATTCTTTTAGACATGCAAAGTTTTATTAATTCAACTTACGACCTGTTTGCTTTATAGAATGGGTTTTTAACAAATTAAATCTATCAAAAAAGTT